GCCTTTGCATAATCAATGAAATACAGATAGACATTCTTCTGGTATTCCCTGCTTTCAGCCAAGATCCATCTAACATCAGCAACGATATCCCTAGTACTACGACCCCTTCTAAACCCAGCCTGGACTTCTGACAGTTCTAAAAAGATTACTCACTTAAAACTCATTGCCACTGATCCTCCAGAGGGTTTTCCAAGGCTGTAAATTGCACGAAGATTGTCCATCTTCTTCTCACAGAGCCGCTGAACTGAACTGTCAGAGAGCTACCAACTTTGGGTTAACAGTGCAACTTCCTATGGACTATGTGACTAGTCTTGTGAATTCTATAAGGCTGTTCTCCTAGGTTGCTGTGAGTTCAATTACTAACACACAACAACCTCATAGGGAGAATCCCTGGTGGGGCAAACGTTAAACATTTGCCTGTTAACATAAAGGTTAGTGGCCCCAAAGCACCAGTGTTTCTGCATAGGGAAAGGGCCAGTGAACCACATCCATGAGGTTATTAGCCTAGGAAATACTAGGTATAGTTCTACTCTGTACTATAAAATTGTTGTGATCCAGATGTGAACAGACAGCATTTAATACCTACATTCTTATAGAATTATTATGACAATTAAGTCAGTTAATTCAGAAATTGCTTGCAATGGTACTCAAGTAGTAAGCACTATAGAAGGTCAGTTATTATTATAAGAGCCTGGCTTTCTTCAATAAAAGAATATTAAAAGTGAACCTAAATGTTTGATGTTATTTTTAGAATGCTTATGAACAGGGATGGTTCATTTCCTCCACTTACCTACCAATATCTATATATTAAAGAAACTAGAGGAAAAGAAGGCATAGTGTCCTTTGGGAAAGCAAAAAGGGTTCTAGAAAGAGCAGATATAGGTCAGAAAGTAAGTATTTGTAGGGGTGGGTAGATATTAAAAATTAACAGATTCTGAACATCTCAAATATCACTGGGGATCAGCTCAGAAAAGACTAAGTTCAGGAGCTCCCAGGGACAAATCTGAGGCAATTTGAACACCAAAAAGGGAAAATGCTAGCAATACACACATTGAATCTTTTCATTTTTAAAAATTTTAAGTCTGTAGTGATGAGAGGAAGGAGAGCTCTGGTGTCTCTCTGGAGACTAAGGTGCTCCTGATACAGGCCATGGTCTTTGCAATCACTTGTTATGCATCAGAGAGTTGGACAATGGCTAGGTAGGACAGAAGGAGAATTGACGCCTTTGAGCTGTGGTGCTGGAGAAGAGTATTGAATGTTCCATGGACTGCCAAGAAAACAAACAGATTCATCCTAGAGAGGGTTAAACCAGGCCACTCCTTGGAGGCAAG